AACATAAATAAGAAAATCACAATGATTTACGAACTTTTATTGTGGTGTTTTACTGTTTGTTTTTACATTGGATGAGAATTCACATTTATATATTCTGTTTTGTTTGATTGTTCTAAATGTCAGTCTAAAAACTTATTCAAAGCATATTAAGAATGTTTCAATAAGTATATAACCACAAGTATCTACTCATATATTTGTCTGTCCGTCTGTTTTTTAAACGACATACAGAATAGTTTTAAATTAATACATACTATTGTGTATAGTCACACTCCAAACAAGTTCATTAGGAGTAAGATAAGAATATAAACATGATGCATTTAGAAATTTCTTGATTGTGTCTATTGAGGATTTTCTAAAATGAAAGTTACTTGATTTCCAAATTTAAACTAATCATAAATTAGTTGCATCGCTTAAAATAAATGGAATTTAATGATATACCATTTCTGTAAATTGGCATAGTGTTAATTTTACTATTTTCATCGTCATGCTCTTTCATTCACTGTTCTTCCAAATCATATTCTGAAGAAATTAATTCAGAAATTTAAAAATATATCTATTTACACTTTACAAATATTTATAAAAATGTTTTTTACTAATAACTATAGATATACAAACACGTTTTTCGTCTATCTGTGACCTTAATGATAAAATATGAATTATCATTTAGGTATTAGGATGATTCAAGTAGTGGGACAAATATGCTCCCATAAATCTATGAATTTACCTGAAGCGTTTTAGTTTAGGACTGAATAATAGCTATATAAAGGCGTTAGTTTGTCACTGAGCAACAGTTAGTAATAAGAAGTTTTTATTTTGTGAATGAGCAACAGCTAGATAAAGTTGTTAGTTTGAAACTGAATAACTTGTGATCCAGCAATAACTACAGAAAGTCATCAGTTTGTGACTGAGTAACAGCTATAGAAAGTTGTTGGTGCGTGACAGCGCAACAGGTATACAAACTTGTCAGTTTATGATTCGACAATATTTATGTAATGTGTTTAGTTTCTGACTAACTAATATCTATACAAAGTCGTTAGTTTCAGACTGAACAACTACTATAGAAAATTATCAGTTTATGATTGAACAAAGCTTGTATAATATTATTCGTTTTTGACCAAATAAAAGTTATGTAAAGTCGTTGATATGTGACTGTATAACAGTTATATAAACGCTGTAATTTGTGATTGAACAATAGCCATTTAAAGTCTTTTTTGTGACGGAATAACAGTTATGTAAAGTCGTTACATTGTGACTGAACAATAGCAAAAAAAATACAATGTTTATGAACATGTATTATGCTGTTTTCTGTTTTTTAGACATTGGATAAAGATTCGTATTATCTTATTCTGCTATGCATGATTGTTCTAAATGTCAGTCTGAAAATTATTCGAAGCATATTAAGAATGTTTCATTACGTATATAATCATATATGTTCATTTTTGTATTTATACTTTCATCTGTTTGTTTGTACGACGTATAGAACACTCGATGTCTAATAGATTTTACACAAACCCATCAGTGATATTTAACTGATCCTTACCCCTTTTAATTTAAAAAACAAATAGTATAATTCTGAGATAAAGATAGATTTTAAAGTAGAAAAATCAGAACATTTTTTATGCAAATATTTGTTTACGAGCCTCGTGAAAGATTTAAAAAAATGTCCATCTACATTTGTAATTGCATCCTTATCAAAAACGTATTCAAGATCACCCACATAAAAAGTGATTTAGTTTTTAAGCATTAAAAAATTAGATTTTACTAATACGGTGGCACGTTTTAGGAATATGTCAGAATTTTACTAGCTTGAAAAACATCGAAGTTGCCACTAGTAATAATATAACACCGAAATTGCTAAGTATTAATTATTCTGTTCCTACTGCAAATGTTTTATAGCCAGATAGCTGTTACAAAAGAAGGTTAACCAATAAGAAAACAGGTTATATTAATCGTCTATTTCTCTGTTGATAAAATGTACAGATAAAGAGCTGGTAGCCTTTCTCAGATATTCACTGCGTGTATTACATTGATCAGCTAGAAACTCTGTTGTCTTTCTATTGAACACGAGCAAAGATTTATTGAACCGTCAATTATAGTTTATCGGACTACACTCACCTCAAAAGGGGGGAGGGAGGACTTTCTAGACACCGTACTGATCCTGGTATCTCAGTTTCTAAATTATCAAGGTTGGTGGGCGAGAGGTGTATAGAGAAAGAAAATGTCATGAAATTTTACCCAATTGAAAGCTAAGAACATGTTACTGGCAAAAATGCGTTTATTTTGGCAGCATAAGCTTATTTTTTTCTGATAAGTGTACAATTAACTTAAGATGTTCTCTTACATTCACTTTTCAAGTAACTTAAAGCTAAAAGAAGAACGAAACATGTAGTAAAATTTGTCTGTTGGTGTTACGATCTATTTTAGCCTGTTTATATAACGGCCTGCTTCAGTAATTCAGATAGTCAGTACATCATACCTTGAAAACAAATTTAAATATTTAGAATCAAGTGAGAGGTTGTATGGAAAACAGCAAATCCACATTTGTGGTCAAAATGTATCAAGTCAGGGTCGCAGCAATAAGGATTGAACAAATGCCACTAAAGAAGAAAGTACATCCAAATAATTACGATACATTCCGGTCAAACTAGAATCGTAGCAGTAACGACTGAACAAATGCCACTAAAAACAAACTACACGTGTGAGTTCAGACCACACAGGAATCGGAGCAATAGGAACTGAACAAATGCCACTAAACAACAAAACAACACCTTAGTTTCCGGAATATTTTCCGTTTTCTGTAAACGCACGCACTGTCTGTCATTTTTAATTTCTATTCACAAAGCGCAGAAATTGGTAAAAAATTATTCTAAATCTTATGAGGAGGTGTGATTACTCAATCCCCCAACCTTACTCATCTTTATATAATTTCCATGCTGTTGTCTGTACATTGGTGTTAAGGTACTAATGCAACAACATAAACAAACCAATTAATCCCCCCCTCCCCAAATATATATATATGAGTGTGTATATTGTAGGGGAAAGTGAGGTAAGACAACAAGTGATAATCAGCCACTCCTATATATATATATATTATAAGTTATGACGTGCTTTCGTCAGAGTGAATTATATAAGGGTTGTATAATTTTTTGTCTTTTATTGATCTTTTGAACCTTCGTGTTTTCCTAACATCAAGAGTGGACTATTTGTAGCTATTGTTTACGTGACCCAGTGCTTAAATGCACTGGCGAACGGATTCGAATGTGAATGATCGAAGCGCTAATTACATTATTTTTAATAACATTGATCCAATGTAAGTACTTTGAAGTTTTATGGTTACAAAATAAATAGTTCAGAGTGTTACACCTTGATCTTAATTCCCGAGAAAGTATAGACAGCCGAATATGCCGTAAAAGAAACAATTCAAATTCATCGAATTTTATAACGTGCCTTATTCAACAATAATGACGTTTGTTTTTATTTATCCGCAATGTACAACAATGCATCCCACTGATATCCACGTTCTTTCGCGCCATTGTTCTAGACGATATGCGGCTTACACATGACGTTTGGTCTTCTCAATCCATGACGAGAGGATTTAAATTACGATTTAAGTAATGTAAATGCAGTTACTAAATGCAACATTTATTTTAACTTGCAGTTCTTATGAGCTATACCGGGGCCATCTTACCAAATATTGGGGTTAATTTTATCCAATACCATCCCTACTACCTTGTTTGCATTGTTTTTGAAGGAAGGATGGATATCAGTCATCCCTATATTTACTTCCTTTTTTGAAAAGTTTTTTTATTTACATGTTTAGTTAATTATAAGGTCATCAACGTGATTTTATAACTACGATGATCCTCGTTTTGTAGTTCGGTAGACAGAATTGCATTTACAAAGTACAGGAATGTCTAAATTATATCTATCATTACCCCTAAAATATTATTTCTAGCAGAATTTCTGTTGACTGTTGAATACGTGAAGTAAAATAATCATAACACAGCATATCTGTTTTGTTGAACAATAGAACTCAGATGCTCAAATATATTATTTTATAGACATTTATAGTAATTTATGTTCATTCAGTCAGTCAGTGCATTCTCTTAGCCAAAAACGTTAGCGATCATTTTTCTCTTCTGTTTCTTCTCTCTTTCTGCCATATTTGAGTCTATTCTTTGACATCGACCATAAACACTCTTCTCTGCCCTCTCCTGTCTAACTTGTCATCCATCAAGTAGAAGATCATGAAAGAGATTTCTGTTACTTTTCAAAAAACAGAAAGTAATATAATACATGTTAAACAACCCTCTACGTTTTTCTGTTATCTCACTATATTAATCAGTAACACTAGGTATTACAAGAAATATTTCCAGTAATAACGAGTATTTTAATACGAAATGCTCTGTGAACTATGGAAAATAAATAAATAAGACTTTTGAACTTAGTATTAGGATTTGGTATAAAGTTTGCAAAAAATGTTTTCATTATTTTTTCGCTTACTGTTAAAACTTATATTTTGTTGCACCAAATTTCAAAGAAAATTATAAATAATATTACAAGTATTAATAATCTTAAAATTACAGATTGTGTTTCCAAAACTTACCAACACTATTGGTAACATTTTGTTACAAATTTTACCTTGTTTCGGTTGAGAGAAGATATACATAGTATATATAATTAATATGGTTTCTATCAGACAAAACGCGTCGAGTCAATTAGAACGACGTGATATTATACTACATTGACCTTTAAATATTTCTTTTTTTTGTTTCTATAAATATATAATTTAATGCTTGTATCACAGATCTGTCTGTCGTCAATTTACCCTACGAAGCGTCTCCCAGGATGGCGAGTTACCATAGCAACCAGAGGCCTGCGTTGTCTCCATGATTGACGGTCAGATCATAGAGGGCGCACGGAAGCTAGTAGAACTATTTCGTCACCTTCTCATCCTCCGCATCTACTGCTGTTTATGTACTTACTCCGGCAGACGGTATCAGTAGCCGCTGAGATGCTTGTCTTCATTCAAGATCCAGTCCTTTCTTGATAAACCATATGAAGAGCTGTCACGTCTCCTTGTTGGATTCATCTCCATCTTCGCTCTCCAATCTCCTCAACTGAATAATTTAAATTGGTCATCTCCGAAGCACTCAGACGAGAAACGTAACAGCAAGTGAAAGGATGCAGTTGAAATAGGTAAGCCTAACCATAATTTTCTACTCATTATAAAACGTAACCACGTGGTGGGTCCAAAACAGGATTAGATATAATTAGCTGAGAATTGCCAAGTAGAAACTTTTACAGAGGTGTACAATATCACAACATGGATCAAATTCACCCTATTAAATTATCGTTGAAATGTTTTGTTGTTTTACCAAAATTATGCCAGATTACCAACAATTTATGTATAGATTTCACTGTATTCTACCGTTTATTACTGATCTTTTGATACGGTTGTATTTATTTGTTGGTTACATTTACATAATTGAAATCTGTATTTGTTCTTCCTTGGTGTAACCTAAAGAGTGGAACAAATATTATGAAACCGGTTGTACTCCAAGTAAATATTGGAGATAAATTTAAATGACCTTAAAACTGTTACCCTTCTTTAGTTGTATCTCCCATCGTGTTGGAGTGAAATAACATGATATGATTTCCGTATACATATATATTACCCAAAGGTATGCCAAACTTTTGCTCATAGTTCATGCTATACATATATGCTATATTCTTCATGAATGTTCATGAAAAAAACTTTTTGGATTTCAAATATGTAAAGTATTGGTCTATTAATAATAATAATAATAATTCTACATACAGCTCGTATTGTCTCAAAATAACCAAATATGTAAATTATTGTATGCTTTAATGACTAATTTCGGTGTAAAACGATGATATATATGAATCAGGATATTATAAAATTCATTGCACATTTTATTGCACAAACAATGATATACATATAAACAACACATACCTTTTCTTTTTTACTTTCTGTTCTAGATCAACCTGTATGTATTAAACTTACAATTTTGTTCTATTTTAAAGTACTATATTTATGGCCATTTCAACTTTGAATTAGTTAGTAATCAAGGTGACTGATATATTGGATGAAATAATTTTCATAAACTGCATGTCTTTCTTTTTGTTTGCATGATCAAAAAGGAATATATTAAATATTTTTCTTTCAACAAATTGAATTTTCGGGTAAGACAATCATTAAAATTCTTACTCACTGGTAGAGGGTTAGAGGATAGTGGAAGGATTACGTACACAGTACTTGTGTAGGCTTATGCGTAACCGTAAACTGTATGTCCCTCCGACATAAACATTGTCAGATACTACGCAATCAAGGACATATTAGTGATTTTTGGAGTTAAATTAATATTATGCGTTGACATGAAAAATTATTTCACCAGTTGAAATATGGTTACCTTTATCTTTTTTAATCACAATTATGTAAGTTACACTTATATGAAATATGTCTTGTGTTCTAGGGTGAAAGTTTTGTTAAGAAGTTTATATGAGTTTTAGATTGTTTACTATATTTCGGGAGATGTTTTCTCAGAGTTTCATCATTAATTCTTCTATGTTGCTGTTCAATGTAGTTAAGTGTTATCTGAATAGTACCATAAATGTCACGAAATCAGTTTTACCTCAAGTAAAGATTCGAAAATTTTTTAATACTTAGCAAGTTTTATTCAGTTTAAGTTATATATATATATATATACGCACATACACACACGTATATATGCATCTGTACATTTCATATAACTGCTAGTTTTATTCTTTCTTTCAACGTTTGTTTATTTGTTTGCAGTTAAGCACAAAGCTACACAATGGGCTATCTGTGTTGAGCCCACCACGTGTATCTATGCCTTACTATATATAATATGTCAAGGAATATATGTTGGAGAAACAGAAAAGTTAGGGATTAGATGAAATCTATATGAATATCACATGAGTAGTCCGCATTTAAGCCCAATACCAGCTAGTGCACATTTTAACAGTTGCCTTAATAAACAATTTAAAAGTTTACTTTTTTGGTCATTTACCCCACCCCACCCGGTTATATATGTACATATATAAATGAAGCATGGTCTTTAAAT